TGTAGGGCACTGATTAATCCTGGGAAGGTGTTCAATTCTGTTTGAATCTTGAAGGAGGCTGCACTGTGAATTTTACCAAAATGTTTTGGAGATTTTGCCCAAAAACAGGTGGTAACTAACTCAGTAGGAAAAATGGTCGCTGCTTGTACAATTAGCTGTAGTATCATCAGAGACAAAACAAATCAATGATGTCTTAAGGCCACTTTATTAATTTCACACATACTCTGATGGCTGCTCTCACATGCCAGAATCATTTCCCCCTTTGGGGGAGACAGAAACTGTGGCAGGATGCTTCACTGTGAAGTCTCATTCAATAAATGGATAGGGGTGGGGTTACTAAAGAAAAAAATGTGTGCATCTCTCAAAGGGCCTAAATAAAATGGGGAGGTCCAGAGGCAGAGACCCCTGGAGGCTCATCACAGGTCCCCACTGGGTGAGGTGCTTTAGTTCCCTGAGCCTGGGCTGCTTTCAGTAGCTCGGATGAGCTGGGAGTGTCCGGCTCCAGTGCCCAATATGACTTGGGGAGACACACTTCCAATCTGGAGAAATGCTTGTCCACGCCTATTGAGAGAAAGGACTGGGGAGAGCCCAGCTGTTCCCTCAGAGCCTATCACTGGGATCAGGAGGATGTGAGAAGGCTGGTCTGAGGGCTGATGGAGCCCGAAGTGCACATATTTGTGACAATCTCTGTCCCAGTGTCCTGGCTGTTGGGAAACAATAGCAGAAGCTAAGGGGGTTTGGGTTGTATTCTGGGGTTTCATTTGCTGGAATTCAAGTTTAAGAATTTAAAGATTCTTCCTTCAGGTGACACTCCTGTAGTGTGAGAGACATGGTTTGTCAGCTTAAGAAAACCTGGAGAGGACACGGTTTCCACCCGTTCCTCTGTTTATAGAATGGAAAGGCCCTGAAGGAGCCAGGCCGAAGACTGCTCAGCACAGGTCCAGCAGAACAGCCCCTATTCCCAAGGAGTGGGAGGAAGGCCGGCCACTTCCAGCTGGAACATCCTGATTTCAAACTCAGACTGAATGCTAAACAAGTACTTGCATACAGTACAAGGTCCTACCTACGAAGGACACACCTTACAATAGTTCTCAGACAAAGCCTGCAGAGCTTCCTACTGCACAGATGTGGAAGCTGGGCTCCAGGAGAATGATTTAGACTCGAAATCCAGGGTTTGGGAGAAACACAGGGCGCAGCCTTGGGCCCAGTGTGGGTCCCACACCTGTTTGCTCAGCAGCCTCACAGTCATACGGGGACTTGTCTGAGTCCATCAGGGCCATAAAAATGTTGACCTGAAG